CCCTTTACAGCATGTAATTTAAATGAATATTTTCGAAGATATTAGAGACTTAAAATGCAGGGACGTAGCGGTTGCGGCGGTACCTACCGGCCGGGAGGCCGGTTTGTATTGTCTAATGACAAAAAAACTGTGAATGTTGTATTTAAAGACATTCTGTAGTATATTTAGTATGTTCAGGGGGTATCTTTTGAAGATTTCCCCTTCTCGATAATAATCTAAACAAAACAAAAATATATTTAGTATCAGCATGGCACCAGTGCGAAGCTGGGGCGGGTCGCTAGTGTATAATAAATCCACACACAATCACTGAACAATAAAACTGATGTAGATAGATTTTATAATCATACATAAGATTATTGAGAAACATCAACCACCACCAATCTTTTCTTACACCGGCAGTCAGAGAAATTCAAAATTTAAAAGTTTCAGCACTCTAATATTTCTGTACGAAGCTCATGGGTGAAGGAGGTTCTTGAACGTCATTTACGTCATATAAGCGTTTACACAATGGCACAATTCTTTTTTTTTGGGAAATACATGTCACGGTCAACCGCATATAGAGAACTAAATGTATAAATAATAAGTATGTTTATATCGATAAAAAATTCTTCTTGGTGAAGATGAATCATAATGGCATGCAAACTAACTGGGCTCAACACAACTAATTCATCTTTCTCAATTAATCTAATACCAAGGTCGTATCTGATATATTTTATAATGACATTTAACATTTTATTCTAACAAAGACAACGCTGAATAGCTCTAATTAAGGTCGAAAAGAATAAGAAGTGTTAATTAAAACCTAATTAAGCTTAACTATGCTGTTTGAAACATCTATAGATATCTGATTTAAAATGTTTTACGATTAGAAACGAACATTGGTCGATTTTTTTAACCGAAATTCGCTTATATTTCCCCGGACAACCTTTTGGCAAATAAGGACCTTTAAACAAAAGAAAATATTCTGGATAAGAAAGGAAACCTTTTTTTTTCTTTTGTTATTTAGAAGTATTTAAAGAAATTTTCAAATAATCTCTAAAAACTAAAATTCATTTAACACAAAACTTAAATTATATTACAAGTTAGTAAAAATTTTCATTTCTCTAAGTCTAGGCAAATTTCCCTAGTTCTAACAATGCTAGCTAAAACTAGAATGTGTTAATGGGCGTCTCTCTTCCTCTTACTCACTGCTTGCAGAGAAAGAGAGAGGTGACGAGGTAGATTCGATTTATCCGCCATCTAGCGCGTATATCCAATAGGAGTCATTTTAATCTTTGAAAGCTAACTTATTAATGTTAATATTATTAAAACTGTCATTTCAAAATACATACTGTAAGCAGATAACGCTTAGGAAATGCATATGCTAGATGTTTGTAAGTTTCTTTTTTTAGAAAATACCTTGATCAAAATTTATCCTGTGATATTTGACATGTATTTAGGACATCAACGCGAGCGAAGCCGCGGGTAAAATCTGGTAATTAATATTCGTCGAATAATGTAAGAAACTTCGTTCCTACCGCATGTCCCACGACATCACATCTTTTTTATTTATCTATGAATTATAAGGTACTGTCTTGTATTTTCCAAAAGTTTCCTATTTTCTCTCCTAATTATCTTCGTCGCCGTACTAAGCATATTTTTAATTGCAGATGATCCTCCCGCAGAAAGAAAATGTCCTGTCCTGACGGAATGTCCTTTCAGAGCAGAGTCTTGTTCCCAAGATGAGGACTGCACTCCAGATAGCGTATGCTGTAAGAGTCCTTGTGGAAATGTCTGTACCAAGCAACTCTTTACAGGTAAAAAAAGAAATAAAAACAAAGCGTACAAAATACAGATACTTTATTAAATTGAATAACAACGGTGTTTTTTTTTATTGAAAAGGTGTGACGTATTTCTTCACTAAATTATTACGAACGTTGTTCTCAAATAAAATAACAACAAAAAGATAAATTGAATTTTTAATGATGACCTTGATTTTTATTTCCAGGATGCCAGACTCTTCGAAAGGCTGCTTCAAGGAGAGCCAAAGCACTGGGTGTGGACACTAAAGTCGTTAGAATGCCAAGGTGTAACAAATCGGGTGGATTTGAACAAATTCAATGTGATAATGAAATTGTTAGCTCCTGCTGGTGTGTAGACGAGCAAGGCTTCGAACTGCCTGGTACCAGAGCGCCTGCTGTTGCCCTCGTCAATTGTACAGGTAAGCAAGATTGAATTAAAAATTTAAAAAACCCTCGACATGAATCATATCTAAAAACATTCTCGATCACGTCACGATTCAAACTAAAAAAATTAAATCAAAATTAATTCATTTGTGTAGAAGCTACAATTGCACAGACAGATGCGCAGAAACACATATTAAATGTATAGCACCCCTCTTATGTGTGGGGGGTTAAAAACAACAATTAAATTTTCCATATCTTCTCCTCAATAATTCGGGATATATCTATATGTAGGATTAGAGCCTGATAAAGGTCATAAGGTTAAACATACATACAATTTAGACAACTTTTAGAAGTGACTTAGTTTAATATGAAATATTAATCTGAAAATTCATTTTTTACCCACTACACGCTACCTCAAATTAATGAGGGAAAAACCCAACAGCAACAATTTTTCCCTCATTAATTTGAAGTAGCGTGTAGTGGGTAAAAAAATGAATTTTCAGATTAATAGGTCATAATGTTATTGGAATAGTGTAATTATTAACTGACTGACGCATAATTGAAATTGTATAATATTCACGTGATAATCCACTGGGGCTTTTGAACGAGTACACTACACTGCAATGTGATGGAAATGGGTCTCCAGCATTGAACACTATTACTAGGAATCTCCAGAAAACTGCGTAAAAATAATATCTGAATTTTTATTTTTTTTAATTAAGCGACTTATTTCGGGAATCCCACCCAAAGTGTATTCCCCAAAATATACGAGGGTGGATTGATAAGTTTCCGGCCTAACCAAGAGATGACGCCACTAGGCCTACCTTGAGGTGACATTCTATAGTACCATCCTTGGATAGCTTGTAGCTATAGTTTCAGCCCGATCTCCTTGCTAGTGTAGGTTTGACAGCACGCTGAACAAGACGCCTCTGTGGTTTTCGTAAAAATGGAAAAGCAGGAAAATCGTGCTGTCATCAAATACTTTTATTTGAAGGGGTTAACGCCGAAGGAAATTAAAAAAGAGATGGACTCAACACTGGGGACATCCTCCCCGTCATATTCAACCGTTAAGCAGTGGGTTTCCGAGTTTAAAAAGGGTCGTGTGAGCACCTCTGATGGGCCTCGCTCAGGACGCCCCGTTGAGGTCACAACTCCAGATATGATCGAAAAAATTCATCAAATAGTGCTGGGAGACCGCAGATTGAAAGTGCGTGAGATAGCTGAGACCTGTAAGATGTCATATGAACGTGTGCAACATATTTTGCACCAACATTTGCATATGGAAAAGCTCTGTGCAAGATGGGTGCCGCGTTTGCTAACAGTCGACCAAAAATTGATTCGAAAAAACATTTCTACCGCAAATTTGTCATTGTATAAGCGTAATCCAAGCGAATTTTTGCGTCGATTCGTAACCGTTGACGAAACGTGGGTCCACCACTACACTCCTGAAACCAAAGAACAGTCTAAACAGTGGATTGGACCAGGGGAACCAACTCCAAAGAAGGCAAAAACAATTTTTTCGGCGAACAAGGTTATGGCTACTGTTTTTTGGGATGCAAGAGGTATTATATACATTGATTACCTTGCAAAGGGTAATACTATCACTGGTCAATACTACGCAGACTTATTGCAACGTTTGAGCCACGAGGTGAAAATTAAACGACCTCATCTGGCGAAGAAAAAAATCTTGTTTCATCACGATAACGCACCAGCGCACACGTCAATCGTTGCGACGGCTAAAATCAACGATCTAAAGTTTGAATTGATGCCGCACCCTCCTTACTCTCCAGACCTAGCCCCGAGTGACTATTTTCTGTTCCCTAATCTCAAAAAATGGCTTGGCGGTAAGAGATTTGCGGACAATGAAGAAGTAATCGAAGCTGTAAATGGTTATTTTGAGGAGCTTGACGAATCAGTCTATAGAGATGGCATTAATAGACTGGAACACCGCTATGAGAAATGTATCAGCCTTGGAGGAGATTATGTTGAGAAATTAAAAAAAAAAATTTTTAAAAACCTTGTTTTTCTTGGTCAGGCCGGAAACTTATCAATCCACCCTCGTATTATACATATTGCGTACATACAAACTATCGGAATTAACTACTTCTCTCAACGTGACTGGGGAATCCCTGGGAAACATAAACGAAACGAATACAGTTGCCAGTTCAGAAATGTAAAATCAGTAAAAATTTCTCGAGAATTTCCATGGATTCTTAACTCAAAAATTGTGAAAAATTATTACATCTCGGGTGATCCAAAGGGGTGGTACCTTCTTTTCTATTTTCTTTCTTGCTTGACTATTTATTAGGAGACGGCATAACAAAATTATAAGACAGCAATTGAAAAACTATTGGAATACTTAAAAAATACTTTTTTGATGGGGTTTTTAAGCTCTAAGTTTTCTCCCCGTACAACCGCCCGCCGCCATCAATTTTGCTGCTCTGGGAATTTGCCCAACTGACTCCCCCTTATAATAATATCAATTAACTGGAACTTGTTATTTTTTTATTCCAAGGCAATTTGACTTTATACAATTGCAAGTACGAAATTATTGCAAAAATATCACGGTATCAGTTAAGGGTTAATATTTGATTACGTGAAACAAACCCTAAACAAACATTTTAGTCATGTGCCAGTTGCGTATTCTTAGGTTTAGTCATTTGCACGCATCAAAATCTTCCAACTTTAACTTTCAACCCCCATAGGTATTAAAAATAAAATTCTTTTAAAAATCTGTATCCTTCCTCGTGTCAAACGTCAAGTGAATATCATTAGTAGTTAGGTACCTACTGAGATAATCAGCTGTGACATAATGACAGAAAATTTCCCCATAGGAGTCCCTCGAAGTAGATAACATTATAAGATTTTAAAAAACCATTTGGAAAAAAATAAAAAGTTAATTTACTTAATATGTGAATTTACTTAATATGCAACTTGACCTTTTTTTAAATTATTAAATTTCGTTAGAGTTCCCTTCTAAATTTCTTCGAAAACTAAATTAATCATACCTATGTGCAACTACCGGAAATGAAAACAAACAACATCCGGTTTTCGAACATCGCATTACTGAAATTATTAATTTTATCAAATGATAACTTCAGATGAACTGATGAAATTGCTTGTAAGAAGCAAGGTAATTTTGTAATTTTCTGCAACCACAATAATAAATACTGTTGTTGCAATAAATAAGAAAATATTTGCTTAGAATGAGAAAGAAAAGGTGCACCTAGTTATTTATCCCATTTATAAATACCGGTAGCTAAGAAATGCAAAAAGCCATTTACTTTTCTTCGTGTTATTAGTGCATACCTAATTACCTTTCTACATAATTCTATAATTTTTTCATGTTTTACTAATATATATTGAATAACAGTTACTTGTTACTTATTCCTTGTTATATTGCACAACTTCTCTAGCCACAAAGTCATCTAACGATGTAAGTCGTTATAAGCAAAACAATCTTTTTTCATGATAAAAACTATTCTATTGTAGATCACAAATTAAGGAAACCTCCGCAATTTATTTGAAGCAACAGCATTTAATTGACTATGCATTTAGATAAACAATGAATTTTTGAAAAAATCACTTTTACAATTTACAACACATTAAAGGATGTGTTCATCAGTTTTATTATCTAAAACCAGTGGCGTAACAATAGAGTGGCAGAGGTCTGAAGGGACCCTCGGCCCGAGAGAAGCTTACATTTATTACAAAATTTAATAAAAAATATTAATTTTGTATTTAATCAATTTAAGTTAGGTATTAACTCAAGAACATACACGAATTAAACAAATAAATTATCGAGATTTAAACACACATTCTTAAGAAAAAGGTATGACCCAATTTTAAAACCAAGTTATTTTTTTTGTAGGGATACTTCTTTAGTGGCGTTTTCTATTTTTGAAGGACGTCCATGCGCTACGCCAGAATCAAATGATTATTAACTTTTTGCGAAATCTATTCTATATCTATATTTTGACAAAACGATTGAAATGTACCTATAATTTTAATATTAAGACTTTTTTATATCAAGGGAGGACCCCATTCAATGAATTTGCCACAGGAATCAAATGCTATAATTACGCCACTGTCTATAACTTGTGTCTTATCAAATTATTTAGTTTTAAAAGATAACTAAACTAGAAAAAGCAACATCAATTAAAATTCATTCGTTTCAAACTAATCCACAGTAGTCGTCAAACATAACTATTAATGAGATGAGTATAACTTTTAATTTCCCAAAATAAATAGGCATTTTTTATGCGTTTTTAATTTGTTTGTGTTTATTTCTTCTACGTTCTATTTCTATCGTATGGTTAAAAACTAAAGAATTTATGCTCCGCGTCACTTCATGTGATTTATTGGTTAATTAATTAAAATAAGCTTAGAATTTCATCAGTTTCTTTTTGGTCTTTACTCGACTTTAAAAACGATTAACTTGAATTGAGCTAAATACATTTGTATTTTTAAAAATACCTTTCACTATTCTTTTTTTTTAACACATTGGTTTTATTCATTTGTTTATGGTATTTCTTTTGTTTCCGTAATTTTAATTAATCTTAAATCCTGATTGTATAGAATCACTTCGGGAATATGATTGAGCATATAAAGATATAAATTTTAAAAAAAAAACCTCTGTTCAAAACAAAAGAGATTCGTCGGTTTTTTCCCGTTTCTTATTTATTTTTTCCACAGAAGTATGTAGTTATCCTGCACTGAATCTTAATTTATGATGCACTTTCTCTTGAATTACGTAACATGAAGAAGACCTGAGTTTTTATCACTTCCGCATGTGGTATAATCCTACATTAACTACCTTTTTATAGACATCACATACACACTGGTATATAGCTTTTGTAATTACAAGTATGCGATATGTAGTAAATAATATTTCTTCAACAATAGGTAGTTACATAATTTTTAAAATAAATTTACGGAATTTATTGGTGAAATTAATTAGGTATTTATTATTAATGTATACTAAATTGTAGTATTTACTTAATTAGTTGCTAGGTATACAAAATACGAAACCTAT